TCTCTCTCTCTCTCTCTCTCTCTCTATCACACACACACACACACACACACACACACACACACAGAGTCCCGTTTCTTCTACGTACCATTACGAAAGAACCCTTCCTTCTTCTCTCGCCTAGGGAAAATAAATATTCCCACCATGCAATTCCCCTCCCCATGGTCCAACTAACCACAAGCTCGGCCGGAAATTTCAGATTCTATCCGACTAAGTTATGTTCCCGTCCTATCCGGCTACGTTAAGGCCAGGTTATTATCCGGCTCTACGGTTAACTATCGCGGAGACCCATTGCGTTGAGGAAATTACTACTGTAGGTTGTGGGAAAAAATAGATTTAGGATGATATTTTAAAGTTCATTTTCTTTCCGCTAGTTGGACGTATGCGGCGGCAGATGTGTACCCTGGTTTTTTTATAGGGAGGGGGGGAGGTGGTTTTGGTGGGCGTTTTTTTTTTCTTGTGTAGAGATAGAGAGGGTGAAAGAGAATTAGAGGTGGGGGAAGGAAGTTTATAGTTTGCAAATTGAAGAAATTTAGGAGGAGGTAAGAGAGGGCGGGCTGACCGCCTAGCTAAGCTAATAGTGTGTTAGGGTTGTGTCATGGGTTAGTTATTGTCTGTCGATACAGGCACTAGACATCATACCCTGTCCCATATATGGGTGTTTTAAGAGCCTTATTTCATATTCCGCCGACCCTACTGGCGGATGCTGGTCTAGAGAGGTTGTCTATTGCCTGGCCGTATAGATCAGGGGTGGTGATGGACCTTTTAAGATTTGATAACTTTTTGGGAACCATGTATGGTTGTTGTCGTTATCTGGTGGGAGTCTTTGAAGGAGTTCTTGCTCTGATCGTTCTATCTTTTGCCAGACTCTGCTGGCCGGGGTGTGTACCTGCTGGTTGATGGGTTTTATTCTCAGGTCTCTATGTATCTCGGCTGTGGTTCTGGTGAAGGGGTATCTTTCACCTGTGATGAACCTCGGGGCTTCACTTTGGACCACCTGTAATTTTAATAATTGGGTGGTGCTCATAATATGAAGAGGTACTGCTAGGTAAGTTAATATCGGTATGATAAGTGATGTCGTCAGGCGGAGTTTTATTTTCTCAGGAAGCTCTATAAAGCGGTACAGTTTTCTCAGCTCTCTTCTTGCCTTTTCCTTCCTGGTGTGGACATGATGGGAGTAACCTGTCGTGGATATATGTAGGCCCAGGAGGGTGCCTCTGCTTTTGTATTCTATCTGGGCATTATTGGTTACTAATGGATGGGTTTTCCTTCTGCATAAGGGTATTACTATGAATTTCGGGAGACTGGTTTGGATTTTTCATTTTTTTCATAGTTATTTACCCTTTTTATTTCTCGTCTGGTGTTGTCGACCTGTAGTGCTCTTGATTTTCCTCGGTGTGTTGTTATTTGAGTGATGTCATCTGCATACATAATATCTTCGTTACCTATTCTGGTGGGAGGCGGGGTGTCACTTGTGTAGATAATATATAGGGTGGGAGAGAGGACGCTGCCCTGAGGGACTCCGCTCATGAATGGGAAGGTCTCTCCTGTGTGTTGTCCTACCCTCAGTCTGGCATTCCTGCCATCAAGGAAGTTTCAAAGCAGCTTTTCGATGTTGGTGGGAAGTCCGAGTTGGAGGAGCTTATATTTTAGGCCATCATGCCAGACTTTGTCAAACGCCTTCGTTGGGGTGGTGCGGGATGGTGGGGGGAGGGGCGGTGTGGGATGGGATGCAGGGGGAGACGGTGGTGCAGGATGGTGGGGAGCGGGGTGGTTGCAGGATGGTGGGGAGCGAGGTGGTGCGGGATGGTGGGGGGAAGGGGGGGTTCTGGTGGTGGTGGGGGAAGTGGGGAAAAATTCCACGCGTTTGAGGGAAGGATGTCTTCCGGTTGGTCTTCTTTGGTACAGTATTGAATTCAAGGTTAGGACTGTATAGGTTAGGTTAGGTTAGGTTAGGTTAAATTAGGTTAGGTTAGAGATTTAGTTATGGTAAGTTAGGTTAGAGTTACCTTACAGAATATTAGGTTACGTTATATATATAGAGTTATATTAAGTTACATTAAATTAGATTAAGCTGTGATCAATATTAAAAAAGCTAAATCAGGTTAGATTAAATTAAACTAAATTATCACAGAATATAATGAAGAAAAAGAATGACCAATCAACACACATCATTTCCCCCAAACGCGTGTGTTATGACCCCGGTATATGGCGTCGACTCACCAAGGACGAAGTTTTAACATAATTCCCTCAGTCTCTCGGCTCACGCAGCGTAGCGAAGATTATACCTGATAGTCGGATAATTTACCTGGCGTTATTATAAACCATGTACTAGATAATTAGACTGGGCGGATTACCTGAGGATTAGCGAATGTCTGTCTTTATGGTGATGGAACAGATTATGGGTTTAGCGATGATAATAATCCTTGGAAATTATTACTGAGATTAATCATTGACTTACAAGTTAGTTAGAGGAAACACGGGGATAAGACTTATACTTTCTTATATACGTTTTAACGAAATGAAAAAAAAAGGTGAAGCTATATATATTTTTAGGAAATTGCACTCGAGGGAGGTATAATTCACGGCTTGTACTGGTTAAAGCCTTGACCTATGACCTACTGACTTACTAACCTTAGAATTATATCAGCTATAGAGGTTATTATGGTTAATAATTATACCGAGTTTGATAGTTATTGCTTATGCCGTTTATGAGTTATGATGCTAATTCTCTAACAGCCTGTCAGTCACTTACAAGTACTTACACGCTACTTACAAGCACTTATAAGTCACCTACAATCACTTACAAACACTTACAAGCACTCACGCGATCACCTCAGCTGACTTATCGGGTTTTTGCACCAAAACCAAGAATAGAGTTTGAGATGAAATGACATCACAAACAATAAGGGAGTCAGCAACACAACCACAAACAAAGAACTGACAAACAGACCCAGGCAACACAACGAAGCAACAGGCTAACAGGTAACATACACAAATAAACAATAGACAGAGATTTAGGCAACACAAACAATAAACAACTTCACACACAAACAGATACAAACAACATTAATCGATACAGACACAACAACAGAAATCCATAACTGGCAACTGTCTTATTGCAGGATATCTAAGCCTGGGAGCGGCGGGCGTTCTGAACCACTTAGCCAGGTCAAGAAACGTTCTCTCTTGGCAGGGAAGAATGGATGGGAGGTGGGGGGTCACTTGTTGTAGGAGAATGCACAGAAACGGTTTGGTAGGTGAACGTTTAAACGGTTGCACTAGATAAGAACGGCTTGAATTCATTGTACTTAGGACAATAACAACTTGAATGGCTATGTTTAGATAGAATGCCTGGTTGTTTGAACAGACAAAGACGGGGGAGAGACTCGAGCAATTCTAGATGACTTACCTGTAATGGCCCCTGTCTCATCAACAGAAGTATTATATAAATGGGTTATTTACATTTAATTTATATTCAGATTCATCCCCTGTAATTTTCCACTACCTATGAGGACATGAACTGAACACATGAACCCTAGCTTTCCCAAGAGGGAGAAGCCCATATGTCAGCATCTATGTAAGGGCGCACCAAGGCGACGCCTTTAGTCAGTCACTCACACCAACTAATATAGAACGGACGTTGATTCACGTTCATATACATAAACGCCGTCCCTCACTCATCACACTCATAAATAGTGGAACTTATGGTTGATCTACACTCAGGAATTTTATAAACATAATACTTTTCTAATAAAACAAGAAACTTCAATTGGGTTTCGTTACTAAAGCCCAATATAATATATGTGAACCAACCTGGTTAATTGGGAATTAACCAACCGGTTCATACCCCTTTAAATTACCCGAAGATGTAGTCAGTCGTTTTCTGTGTTGTTATGATTCATTGGTCACCTCTCATGATCCTGTTTACACACACACACACACACACACACACACACACACACACACACACACACAGAGTGATAAAAAAGTAAATACCAGAAATAATAACCATAGGTGCGTATTTCCTTACCTTGAGTATGATGGTTTAAACCTTAGAGAACCATGGATTAAACCCTTAAGAACCACCAGTTAAACCGTGGAGAAATATGACTTGAAATCATCTCAGTTTTAGATTAAGTTAACTTGTGATGTGTGAATCTTTTTTTTTGGGGGGGGTGTGAAATCCGAATCTATATTTGAGCCACGAATCGGAATCGAATCTTTTGTATTGAAGCTTTGGTTTACGTTAGGTTAGGCTTGAGTTGCTTTACTTTGGTTAATTTGGTTTGAGCATTATTATTATTATTATTATTATTATTATTATTATTATTATTATTATTATTATTATTATTATTATTATTATTATTATTATTACTAAACTTCTGACCAATGAGAATCGAAAAATAGATAAAATAGTTATACCTATTTCCTTCTTCCCATTTTCTTTATATCGCTTCCTGTAGAATTCTGATTATGGAGTGTGAGAGACCTTCGGGAGTCATTACTAACTCAACAAGGTCTTTTAGTACAGCTGTAGTTACATAATACGTCTACACCACCTGAAGATTAAACACCCTAGTTTATTTCACCTGATAATTTACCTCCCTAACTGGAGATTAGGTTAGGTTAGGTTTGTGCTAGGTTCGTGTTAGGTTAAGTTAGGTTTGGTTAGGTTAAGGTAGATTAGGTTAAGTTAGGTTAGTGTTAGGATGGTTAATTTGTTTTACAGCTATAAGTCAATGTTGTAATTCTGAGTCTTGTAAGTGTGGTAACAAGAGTGTGATGGTACAGACGAGTGTTGTAGTGAAGTTCTTATAATACCTGTGAATGGTGTAACGCTGAGGTGTGTGATGTAACAACAGAAGGTCATCGTCTAAGACTTTTTCAGAGGATAAGAACAGTGGAGTCTTGTACCGCCCTTGAATGTGTGTTGAGTTGATTGTAAGTTTCTAATTAAACTTACCTTCGGTGTTAAGGGTTGAAGCTTTTTTCAGTCTAAATAACTAAACTAATGAGAGATTAAGAGGCCCAGGTAAGAAACAATCTCCTGTTAAGACTCTCTCGTAATCTTATTGGTGTCGGGAGATCTGGTAATGTGAGGTCCGGCCGCCAGGTGGCAGTAGAGAAGTGGCGCCGCACCTAGATGCTGCCTTTCCGTTGTGACCTTTACGCTCTCAGAGGCTGGTCGAACCTCGTGTCCTGGCTGGCAGTGCTGAGTGGTCGATCAGTGTGAGGGACCAGTCAGCCACTCAGTGTGAGGGGAACAATCGGTGTATAACGAGGACAAGTGCACGAAGGAGGAACTTGGACCTGCTGAAGGGAGGAGTGCTGGAGGGGCGGCTGCCTTCTGTTGAGGTCTCCTAACTCACACTCACAAACTGGCGGTAGGGAGAAAGAATTAAGGAGTCACCATCCAATATGGAGACTATGAGACGCGGCCTCACATGGCATCCCCCCCACTAAAATGTCAGGACTTCTGAGCATCGGGTCTCGCGCCGCTAGTGTGCGACGGCACCACCGCCAGCATCTCGCGTCTTCGTCCTCCGCCCACTCTTCTCCGACACACTCCCCCTCCTCCTCCCGCGCCTCTCTAACACACTCCCTCTCCTCCGCCCGCGTCTCCCCGACCTACCTGTCCCCTGGGGAGACCATTTTACCCCCCACCAGGAGCGCCCCGACCACCCCTGGACACGCCACCACCTCCCGGACTTTCTCCTCCCAGCAGCGTCCCGACCAGCTGGGGTTCCTGGCCCCACCAGAGCCTTCACAGGGAGCCAGGAGCGTCCCCACCAGTCCTCTTACCAACCTGAGGCGTCAGAATTCCCCTTCTCGCTCGCCTTCGCCGTCAGCAAGAGAGTCCCGTAAGCCATCACCATCAGCAAGAGAATCTCGCACGCCCTCGCCGTCAGCAAGAGGGTCTCGCACGCCCTCGCCGTCAGCAAGAGGGTCTCGCACGCCCTCGCCGTCAGCAAAAGGGTCTCGCACGCCCTCGCCGTCAGCAAGAGGATCTCGCACGCCCTCGCCGTCAGCAAGAGGGTCTCGCACCCCCTCACCGTCAGCAAAAGGGTCTCGCACTCTCTCGCCGTCAGCAAGAAGGTCTCGCACGCCCTCGCCGTCAGCAAGAGGGTCTCGCACGCCCTCACCGTCAGAAAAAGGGTCTCGCACGCCCTCTCTATCACCAAAGAGATCGCGTACGGCCTCTCCTTACCGCAGAAGATCCTTCACCCCATCGCCAGAGGAGTCGTCTAGTCCTACCTTATTTTCGCCGTCACCAAAGGGGTCCTCCACTCCTTCCCCGTCACTCAAGGGGTCACGCACGCCCTCACTGTCACTCAGAGGGTCACGAACTCACACGCCGTCACTTAGAGGTTCCTCAGCCACCACGCCTCTGACGCCGGCTGTGCCTTCGTCTTCAGCCTCCTATAGCACCTTCGACTTTGACTCACTGCCTTGGGGCCTGAGTCACGTTAACCACCAGGTAAATAATGGGGCTGACTCACCTTGTGTCTGACTCGTCCTCACCTACAGGTAACTCATGAAATTGACTCGCCTACACCAACAGGTAACTCATGTACCTGACTCAACCACATCAACAGGTAACTCAATTAACTGACTCACCCATAACAGCAGGTAACTCATGTAACTAACTCGCCCACACCAACAGGTAACTCAATTTACTGACTCACCCATAACAACAGGTAACTCATGTAACTAACTCGCCCACACCAACAGGTAACTCAATTTACTGACTCACCCATAACAGCAGGTAACTCATGTAACTAACTCGCCCACACCAACAGGTAACTCAATTAACTGACTCACCCATAACAGGTAACTCAAATAACTAACTGACCCCCAGTAATAGATATACTCAGGGGTGATACATACAGGGTTACTCGGGGAGGGGGTGATACAGGTATACCAGGGGGGGTGATAGATACAGGGTGGGAGGAAAGAGGGGGAGGGGGAGTAAGTCTGTTTACTCTTGGTCAATAAGGCATTAGGTCGAAAGTCACATCCTATAGTAAGTGTAAGAGACCGAACGGGTGATGAATCGATGGTTTGCTGAGTTGGATCGATAAGGTGGTAGTAATTGTGTGTGTGTGTGTGTGTGTGTGTGTGTGTGTGTGTGGACTTTGGGTGAGGGAGTGAGAGGGGGGGTAAAGGAGGAGAGAAGATACGGTTGTACTTTATGTGAAGGAGTGGGATGGAGAGAGAGGGGTGGAGGGGTGGTCTGAGAGAGAGAGGGGAGGTTGGCTGCTATCTGATAGGGTAAAGATACTTGGAGTGGAAGAGAGGAGGAGGAAGAGTAAGAGGAAAGATAGTTAAGGATGAGAGTGTAAGAGGGAGAGGAGGAATGGAGGTGAGGAGGAAGAGGAGAGAGAGAAAGAGAGAGATAGAGAGAGAGAGAGAGAGAGAGAGAGAGAGAGAGAGAGAGATAATGAGAAAGGACAGCTACAATAAATCAGCAAACAACATCATTATAAAACGGAATTACTA